CACACACACACACACACACACACACACACACACACACACACACACACACACACACACACACAGTATGAGAGAGGTTCCAGGTTGAATTGAGGCGAATATTTGTAATGTTCAGAGGTTGTTGTGTTTAATATTCATGAGAATATTTGTCATTGTTCAAATGATAATAAACAAACATATAAAGCATATTTGTCCACTCATATGTTGATAAGAGTATTAAAAACTTGAAAGATATCCCTCTAAGGTACATTTAGAACAGATAAAAAATGTGCGATTAATTTGCGATTAATCGCGATTAACTATGGACAATCATGCGATTAATCGCGATTAAATATTTTAATCGACTGACAGCCCTAATATATATATATACATATATACATATATCTATATGTATATATATATATATATGTATATATATATATCTATATGTATATATATATATATATGTGTATATATATATGTATATATATATATATATATATATATATATATATATATATATATATGTATATATATACATACATATACATATATATATATATACAGTGCAATAATTCTTTCATGCTAAATGAAGCTCTGTTGCTTGGATATCACTAGATCCTGTTACAGCGTAATATAAAAGTACATAACGATTGATGTGTAAATTAGCATAATTACTAGCTAACCGCTAGCTGCTAACTGCCGCCTCGTTAATATCAAATCCATCATAATAACAATCCATTACCATGCTGTCATGAACGTGCGGTGCTATTATGTGTACGCAAATTGACGTGCTTGATGTGAACGAGCATTTTGGGGGGCATGGTTAAAGTTGCGCATGCGCTATGAGCGCACATACGGGTACTTCTCAGGCATGCCGGGTAATCTGTGACGTTTCGCTCTCTCAAAAGTTGGGCCATTTTATCATCATGCGCGAATGAGCAACTCTCATAGGAATGAATGAGGCCCCGCCTCCCACGCTGTATCCAGTTCTTATTATACATCCATGTCGTAGGCGGGCGGCGTAGCCGACGCAGGCGACGTAGCGGACGTAAAAGTCGGGACGCCTTCGGTACGCGTTCTTTGGTCTCAGGTTGGTGTGTAGCGGCCTTAAGAGTTCTCATGAACTAAGTTCTGATGAACCTTTGTGGGAAAAGTACTGCGGTGTGAAAGCGCCTAATAGGAGGGTTAAGGTCCTGAAGCTCTGAAGTAATGTCCTTAAAGGGAACACACACTTCTACCCATTACAGAAATACACTTAATGTATGTTCTTGTAGACTGTGATCTAACAGAGGCTTTTAATCGATTAACTCGATTAGTTGTTGCACCCCTATACTTTACTGTCGGGTCACTCATTACTGGATCAGCGAGCTGCATGAGATGCTGACGGGCTGTCAGGAGAGAGAGAGGAAAGGAGAGGCTCCGTTTATTATTATATAGAGTCGTTATCAATTTGTTTTAAAGCTCAATAAATAACAAAGAAGACCTTTGACCGGCACTTTTCTCATTTTGTCTGGAAGATTTAAACATTAACGGACATGTTGACCGGCAAAAGAAAATTGTAACGGAAACTCTGCTTTGTATACTGCAGGGTAGCTTGTGAATTTACTCCAGGTGGAACTAAAGTCTGATTTAAGAATTCATTATATTTCACATCATTCATCCACATCTGTGAAGTAACTAAAGGGATTAAATACATGTAGTGGAGGAAAAGTAACTTGTTTTCTTGTCTTCTTTATTTGTCTCAGTGTGTGGACGTGCTGCCATTGTAACATTCACACCGTCAGACAGTGGGTGTTTCTCAATCGCGAGTAAAGCTGCTTCAGAGCCACTATTTCAAGCATACTACGTCATCGAGTGCCGCCGAAGTACTGTTCCAATCTCCAGCATGCTTGGAAATCTACCGAGCCCGGCATACTCCGTATGGAGAAATATCGAGGCTGCACATGAGTAGACTCCGCGGTCTTAAAATCCCCACAATGCTTTGCGCACGGACCAATTTCCCCAAATCTGTGGCGGAAGATGTAAGGCGGGGCCTCTCATATGACGCACACCTGCACACTTGCTAGCCTGTTCCACTCTTCGTTTTCCGAATGCCAGGAAGTATTCTTGACTCGCTTCTGAAGCAAGATGCTCGGCAGACATGTGCTACCAAGCAAGCGTACTCGCGATTGAGAAACACCCAGTGTCTGTCTTTAAGGTCCTGAAGCTCTGAAGTAATGTCCTTAAAGAGAACACAGACTTCTACCCATCACAGAAACACACTTCATGTATGTTCTTGTAGACTGTGATCTAACAGAGGATCCTGAACTTTAACTCAGATCAGTGAACAGGAAGGAGGACTTTAAGATAAAGAGTTTGTTTTCTAACATTTCTATAACCTGCAGGTCAGTCCTGGAGCTGAAAGACTATCACACTTTAAACTCACACAGCCCATAAACACATGAAGCACTTCTTATTTCCCAACGTAAAGAATCAAAAGACTCACGTGCAGATGTGCAGTGTGGGCCTACTATTCCCAGGAGAAGCAGAAACAGCAACATCTTCATCTTGATCGAGGCTTTCTGTGTGAAAGGTTCTTTATCCACAGAAACACAGCTGTCCTTTCTGCAGAGCGGGATGTCAATGAGAGAGACACACAGAAGGTTCAAGGTTCAAGGCTTTTATTGGTCATGCGTGCAGAGCTACAGTGTAGTTATGACGATGGAAATCTTGGGTCACAGGCTCCTCCAACAGAGCAACACAATAACACAGAAAAACAGCAAGTAAATACAAAAAGAAAAATAGTAAAAAAGTGAAATAGTGCAATAAGAGTCTATATACTAGTGATTGGAATATGATATATTAGATACATAACTTCTAAGTAGCAGCCAGATGAATGTTATGGATGTTGTTTCAAAAGATCAGGTGTTTAATAGTATTATTGCCTGTGCAACACAGTCTCACTCCCTGATAGTCCAGTAGCGACGCTTGGTCAGGGTCCTTTGGCGTGCAGATGTGACGCGCCGAGTCTCCTTCAGCTTCATTTACGGACGCAAAGAGCTTTCAACTGATTGCAATGTATTCCCATCGGCGGCGGTATTTGACGCTCAGGGAAGCACCGCATAGGTCCATGTCGGCGGCATTTAAAGGCAATGTGAGCGTCCATTCCCATTGGATAACGGAGAATTTTACACCCGGAAGTAACTATTCTCCTTACTGTCGATTGATTTCACAGTGATATCTGCACTACTCATCAACTCAAAAACACCAGATTATCCTTGTTAATTACACAACATTGATTGGTTTAAATTGTGTGCAATGCTTTTGTGTTTTTGCCCTTCGATTCGGAGAAACAAATAGTTTTACCGGGGTTTAGGATGGCCGAAGACACTACACTACCCATAATCCTCAGCTATCGTTTGGGATGACACCAGTCCCTTTGCTTGACAAACCCCGTGATTAGTCCTCAAGCTCTGTGATTGGTTGACTTCCAAGGGGTGATGGGGGTCTTTTGGGAGTTAACATCAGCTCCGTCTGAGCCAATGAGAATTCAGTCTGAGCGTTGCGTCACTTGTTGCTCGGTAAATCTGGCTCACTCAGGTTGTGTATGGAAAGTGAAAGCTGATCTTGACTCAAGTACAAGATCTGAGTAATTCTACTTTTACTGAAGTACACGATCGAGTACTTCTTCTTTTCCTAAAGTACAAGATCTGAGTACTTCTACTTTAACTCAAGTACAAGATCTGAGTACTTCTACCTTTACTGAAGTACAAGATCTGAGTACTTCTACTTTTACTACAAGATCTGAGTACTTCTACTTTTACTCAAGTACAAGATCTGAGTACTTCTAATTTTACTCAAGTACAAGATCTGAGTACTTCTACTTTTACTCAAGTACAAGATCTGAGTACTTCTACTTTTACTCAAGTACAAGATCTGAGTACTTCTACTTTTACTCAAGTACAAGATCTGAGTACTTCTACTTTTACTCAAGTACAAGATCTGAGTACTTCTACTTCTACTCCAGAACAATGTAAGAGTACTTCTACCACCTCTGTTGAACTGTTAAAGCAACATTTCAAATAATAAATGCTATTTGTCTAAAAAGCCCTTTCTTTATAACTTACATTTATTTTTAGTTTTCACGTTTAGTTTAGTTTATTCCTCTCTTCTGTATGCACCTGTCCCTCGACAAAAAGCAACGGGATTTCTCCAGAGGATTCTGGAATATTGTAAAAAATAAGATCTGTGGAAAACGAACCTGTTTGATAAATGTTTTGTTCAGCCGGATAATCTCCACATGTCTACCCTACTTTTATAATTTTCGAATCATAAATCTATCAATAGATGTCAGACCCAACGCGGACCAAATGTATTGATATTAAAGTGACTGTTATTTTGTACATATTGATTGTTGTGGTTTTTTTTTTATCTTAATGTGTGCATATGTGTCTGTTGACTGTGTATATATAGGATATACATATGTAATACATATTTTATACATATCTGTATTGCTGTATAATTTTACATTCGGGATTGTTGGAAACGTCATTTCAATCTGTCTGTAAACACAAACTGAGTAAGATTGACATTAAAGTTGACTTTGACAACAACACAGCACTCGATCAGAGGCGGCGTTCGTTGTAGCCGGGGATTTTAACATTGCTAACATGAAGAAAGTCCTGCCGAGATACTTACAAAAGATCAGCTGCCCGACGCGCGGCGGAAACACACTGGACCATGTATAGTCCCCTTTCCACATGGATATAAGGCTCTCCCTCGCCCTCCCTTCGGCAAATCACACCACATCTCACTGCGGCTGCTGCTGCCTGCTTACAGGCAGAAACTGAGATGGGACAGACCGGTGACTATACAACGATGGAGTGAGGAGTCAGACTGCTTTGCATCTACAGAGTGGTGTGTGTTTGAGGGCAACAACATCAACACACACACGGACACGACTAGAAACATCTCTAGTCGAGGGCAGCTCTACCCCTCACCCTATGAATACTTGTGTATACAAATAAAAACATTCACAAAGATTTAGGTTGTAAAACTTTATTAATGCTCCCACAACAAACAGTCAGTATGAGCTGTGAATAACAACATGTGACTCAGAGGTAGGAACCTGTGAGGGTGAAAAACATCCGAACCCTTCAGTACAAAACGCCATGAACTGTCCATGTATGAATACTCATTTATAAACAACACAATGTTCAAATCATTCATTAAAAATACTTTTCAAATGAAGGATTCTTCGTCCAAAACGTCTACAAAATAAATTATGTGGACAAAATATTTCTTGATATTTTGATGTTAAAGTAGAAGAAGTGATTATTAACAAAGAAATCAACACGTGAATTATTAATAATTAAATACAAGACGCCCTAAATTATAAGATTTATCAGCAGGAAACAAAATATTAAATATTAAATTAGGAAATGTTAGAATTTCTGCTGAAATAATTATAATTATTATAAATAATGATAATAATAAAACAAAAGGTTTCAGGGGTCTATGTTGCGAAAAATATATTAATTTAGTACAGATTTTAAACAGAGAAAACTTAGCGAGGATTTAATAATTTTAGGAAAATAATTGCTGAATATTTTGATAATTAAACAAAAGCTTCTGTCACTTATGAAGCAGCTTTTTTTACTGTGTGTTTAAAATATTATTTATTCATTGATTTCTTTTGGTTTTGTTTTTTGACAGATTAATCAATAAGTTGCAGCAGAACAGCATCTGAGAGAAAAAGCTGATTCAACGTTTTATATTCAGTTAAAACGCTCAGTTTAATGTGAAAAATCCTCTTTAATTAAAGTGTAATAATCTTTATTGCGCTTCTATAACCGTGTTGTTTACAGAACCGACGCCCTCTGTATTTATAGGGTCATTTAAATCCTCTGATAGCTAACGGACTTCTGTAGAGGAGCTCGACTCTGTTTAAACTGTGGTTATTAGCAGTTAGCAGTTAGCAGTAAGCAGTGGTCATTAGCAGTTAGCAGTAGTTATTAGCAGTTAGCGGTGGTCATTAGCAGTTAGCAGTAGTTATTAGCAGTTAGCGGTGGTCATTAGCAGTTAGCAGTAGTTATTAGCAGTTAGCGGTGGTCATTAGCAGTAAGCAGTGGTCATTAGCAGTTAGCAGTAAGCAGTAGTTATTAGCAGTTAGCAGTAAGAGGTGGTTATTAGCAGTTAGCAGCTGTTATTAGCAGTTAGCAGTGGTTATTAGCAGTTAGCAGGGGTTATTAGCAGTTAGCAGCTGTTATTAGCAGTTAGCAGTGGTTATTAGCAGTTAGCAGTAAGAGATGGTTATTAGCATTTAGCAGTGGTTATAAGCTGTTAGCGGTGGTTATTAGCAGTTAGCGCTGGTTATTAGCAGTTAGCGGGCAAGCTAAGACGTTTTTTTTTCCTTCTATCTTTAAAATAAATGCAGCAGAGGTTCCTTCATTTCTCTATAAAGTTAAAGACAACACATAGAAATGTATGACGTGTAATAATGAGCATCTAACGACCAAATATCAGACGGTGAGTCAGCAGAAAGTGAGCTAAATAAAAACATTAATTCATAACTTCTTGCGTTCGAAAGATTGAGGTTAATAAAGTTATTCAAACATAAAGTGCGTTCATCAAGCTTTTATTGATTTAACAATCTGTGTGTTTCCTCCTCTTAAATAGATCTTTGTGAAGCCACTTTAATATCGGTGTATGTCAATGTGAGGGGGGGGGAATAATTTACATTAACTGTCTGAAATGTTAGTTCACTTCCTGACACACCTCCATGTTGTGAGAAATGTAATATCTGATTACCTAGAGAGGTGCAGGAATGAGTCCTAAACCCTTGACATGACTCACTTCCTGTCCCCTGGTCTGGAGGTCAATGGTTTTCTGGATGTGTTTTTGTTTGTTATCCTGAAATCACGTCAGTAAATACCCCACCGGTGAGTTCAAAACACGGAGATGGTGCCTTCAGGGACCAGTTTGCTGGTTAACATGTACGTGTGACATCATTGTTATTGTAGCTAGAATTTTTGTATATAATCTCATGTTTGATGGTATTCAATGGCATCTAGAAAGTCTTCATAATTACTACCTTAATGTGTATTTCCCCTGAACGCAACACAAACACTTCTCCTCCTATGTTAGTGTGGTAATTAGTCGTTACTGGACCCTTTCTTAACGAGCCACAAACACAGACAGTGATTGTTATTGTAGCTAGAATTCCTTTACACTATATATATAAACTCATGTTTCTTAATATTAAATAGCATCCAGAACTGTGTTGAAATGATGACATGAAAACTCATAATTACGACATTAATGTGTCTTTCCCCTGAACGCAACGCTCCTCTATTAGAAACACTTCTATGTTAGTGTGGAAGTGAACAGAAGGAATAATTGGACCCTTTCTTAACGAGCCACAAACACAGACAGTGATTGTTATTGTAGCTAGAATTCCTTTACACTATATATATAAACTCATGTTTCTTAATATTAAATAGCATCCAGAACTGTGTTGAAATGATGACATGAAAACTCATAATTACGACATTAATGTGTCTTTCCCCTGAACGCAACGCTCCTCTATTAGAAACACTTCTATGTTAGTGTGGAAGTGAACAGAAGGAATAATCGGACCCTTTCTTAACGAGCCACAAACACAGACAGTGAAGTGGCTTTTTCTTTTCAGACGGACAAATCAGAAGACGTTCGTGGACTCTTCAGTGTTGGAATAAAGAGCGTCCGTCAGACATGAATTTGAAGCTATGAAGACAGCAGTGTGTGTTAGTGTTGATGTGATCAGCTGTTACTCGTTAGGCTGCTGCAGGCTGAGCACTGAGTCTCCCGCCCTGACGGAGGTGGTGTTTCCTCCACAGTCCACGTACTGGTACATCTCCTGAGAAACCTGCTCCGCATGGCCGAAGTACGTCGTGGTGACGGTCACTCTGCAGAGGGGAGGAGCAGGGGAGAATGAGCATTACAAGAAATCAGGGGCAAAATCTAAAATAGAGTCAAAATGTAGAATCAGAGTAAAAAAAATCAGGATCAGAATCAATAATCAGCATTAAACAAATCAAAATCTATATCTGAATCAAAAATCTGCAGAAAACCATTGAATACAAAATTAGATTCAAGTCAGAAAATAAAAACCCTGAATCAGAAATCAAGATAAAAAAATCATAAAAAAATTAAGAAACAGATTCAGAAATCAAAATCTGAATAAATAAATCTTGAGGAAACATTTGAGTAAAACATGTGATTCAAGTCAGAAAGTGAGAACACTGAATTAGAAATCAAGATCAAAAAATCATAAAGAAACAGAATCGTATCAAAAACCATCATAAAAAAATAATCAAAAATCAGAATTAAAACTTGGAATTAGAAAAACGTAATCCGTCCCACAGCGGGGACATGTTAAAGTGTAACACGAGAGGAAGCAGTGGCAATAAAAAACTAATATAAAATAGTAAACTAACAATTTAAACGAACAGAAAGCAGATTTTAATAAAGTAGAAGTAGAAACTCACTGCATCATCACCACGATGTTGTGCACCCTGATGGTCTGCAGCGTGCAGTAATCACTGGAATACAGAGGAAAGGTCATGGGGTCATGGGGTCATGTGATGTGGATCAATTTAAAGAATCACCACCAATACTTTGCTCAATGAGGAACCAGGTGAAAAACAACAGGCATTGAAAAATGATTTGGTTCATGTGTTGTAGAGAATAGACATGTTAAATGCATGTGGAGTAGAAGATGAGTCAGAAATGAAAAATAAATCTTATTATTCAGAGGATAATGTAGCCTTAGATAGATCTGAATATAAATGGTGTTTTTAAACCTCTTTAACCCAGAATAATTTGATAATTTAATCAAAAAAATCGTAGTTAAAATGTGATGATAAATGTACTCACTACATGTAGTTCATCTCATCTGCGATGATGGTGGGGACCATGTAGTCCATCTGGAACAGAAACACACCGTCAGAGACACACACACACACAGGTACACACACAGGTACAGACACAGGTACACACACACAGGTACAGACACAGGTACACACACACACAGGTACACACAGGTACACACACACGTACACACACACCTGCTTCATGTCCAGAGGGCTGATGGCCGTCGTGTTGCTGATTCGTGATTTCCCGATGACGGTCTTTGCGAACTGAACCTGCGCCGTGATGTTAGCGACTTGCACCGAGTAGTAGTTGTTGTTGGTGATATTCAGAGTGTTCTGCAGGGGGGAAAGGGTGAAAGGTCAAATCAGGAGGAAAATATTATTCATTTATTGATTTATTTTGGGTTTGGGACAGATTCATCAATAAGTTGCAGCCCGACAGCATCTGACAGAAAAAGCTGATTCAACGTTTTATATTCAGTTAAAACGCTCAGTTTAATGTGAAAAATCCTCTTTAATTAGAGTGTAATCATCTTTATTGCGCTTCTATAACTGTGTTGTTCACAGAACCGACGCCCTCAGTATTTATAGGGTCATTTAAATCCTCTGATAGCTAACGGGACTGTAGAGGAGCTCCACTCTGTTAAAACTGTGGCTATTAGCAGTCAGCATTATCACATAAACCGTATTTAATTTTGTCTTAATTTACATTATTTAAAATCTATATTCTATTGACATGTGTATTGACTTTTTGCACTACTTTTTATTTTGTATTTTTATCCTTTCTTTTAGTCAAAAAATGTTTTGGTCAAATTTATTTTTTGTCAACTTTTGTTTTTTTGTCAACTTTTTTTTGGGTCAAATAATTTCTTTTTTCAACTTTTCCTTTGGGTCACATTTTGTTTTGTTTTGGGAATCAATCATTTATTTATGTCAACTTTCTTTCTTGGTCACATGTTTCTTAGGTAAAATGCTTCTTTTGCTCAACTTTTTTTGGGGAGGCTTTAATATCACTCATCATATATAATATAATTCTGACCGTGATGTTGAGGTAGACGCTGCGCTTGTCCTGGTTGTAGCTGACGAACACCGACTTCACGCCGACGTAGGAAACATCGATGGATCGAGGGAAGAGGAAGAAGACGGCGAGGCTGGAGAGGAGCAGGCAGACAGCCACGGACGCTGAGACGTACAACTTTCTGCAGAGCACACAAACACATCACCGCCTTAATACACAGGCAGAGAGCCACGGACACTGAGACGTACAACTTTCTGCAGAGCACACAAACACATCACCGCCTTAATACACACACACACACACACACACACACACACACACACACACTGACACACACACACACAACAACACTAAGCTACGTTCATCATATTTACAGCACCGTGCAGGTAATGGTTTTAAACTACCTGGTTAATATTTGGAAATATCCTGCTCACGTTTATGACCCACACAGTATTATAATAATCACAGGAAATACAATTATAAAAAGACACAAGATGCTTGAACAAGAACAAATAAAATAAAACTGAGACTTTTAAGACATTTCTTTGATTAGGAAAGCTAGAATATATACGTTTTAAGTCATTATGATTTCTCTTAACCCTTAAATCCCTGTGTAATCACACTAAGTGTAAATACTCACGTCCTGCGGGGCCTCAGCCTCTGGTCGCTGTAAGGGATCAGAGCCACCAGTTGGTTCTCCTGTCCTGAAACAGAACCAGAGAGTCAGCTGTTAGTGGCAAGAGTACACATCCTTTCCTCAAGTAGAAGTACAGATACTCGTGTTTAAAAATACTCTGGTGAAAGTAGAAGTACTGACTAAACTTCTTTACTCAAGTCAAAGTAAAGAGGGCTTTGAAATGTACTTCAGTAAAAAGTACCCATAACTAGCAGCTGTTTTAAAGAGTACCTGACCTCCCTTTATATTAATAGAACAATAATGTCATTGTTAGCTAATGAATGTTTCCATGCTGAACAACGGCAACATGACAACGTTTTCATTGGTCCCTCTTCTTTAGAGAAGACCAGGAAATGATGGATACACGGATCGTGTTCAAATCAATAGGCACGCAATGACTCTAAATAATAATGATCACGCCACCAAACACACATTCAAACTAAAGGAACCAGCCTGTTTGGGAAATGTGAGAAGTAGAAAGTACAGGTATTTGTGTTCAACATGTAAGAAGTAGAAAGTACAGGTATTTGTGTTCAACATGTAAGAAGTAGAAAGTACAGGTATTTGTGTTCAACATGTAAGAAGTAGAAAGTACAGGTATTTGTGTTCAAAATGTAAGAAGTAGAAAGTACAGGTATTTGTGTTCAAAATGTAAGAAGTAGAAAGTACAGGTATTTGTGTTCAAAATGTGAGAAGTAGAAAGTACAGGTATTTGTGTTAAACATGTAAGAAGTAGAAAGTACAGGTATTTGTGTTCAACATGTAAGAAGTAGAAAGTACAGGTATTTGTGTTCAACATGTAAGAAGTAGAAAGTACAGGTATTTGTGTTCAACATGTAAGAAGTAGAAAGTACAGGTATTTGTGTTCAGAACGTAAGAAGTCAAAGTAAAAAGTCATCAGGAAAATAAGTAGTGGAGTAAAGTACTGATACCAGAAACATGTACTTAAGTACAGTAACGAAGTATTTGTACTCCAATACTTCCCACCTCTGCTCAGCTGTTAGTGGGAATACCTGGACCTCAGTGGTAATACAAATCTGATTCAGTCTTTTTACTTTCTGACTTGAATCTAATTTTTTTGATCTGATTTCTGAATCGTTTTTTGATCTTGATTTTTTATGCTGATTATCGATTCAGATTTTTTTTTGCAGTGTTGTTTTTCTTGTAGTCTTTGTGCAACGTGTAGTAGCTCTAAATATTGTTTTAGTACTAGAGGTAATAGTGTTTTCTTTTATAAGAAAGCTGTTTTTGTTTGTCATTATTTAAATGTGTAAATTGGCTGGTGAGCCCTCTTCATTCTTTTAACAATTAAACATTATCTGCTAATGTTTCCAAATCAGTTTCCTCAACACAACAGAGTGGAGAACGAAGTGTCCCTGTAGGAGATTAATAAAGTATGTCTTCTTCTTTCCTCCCGGTTATTTTTATATTTTGTTACTTCCCTTTGTACCCCTAGTTTAGGAGGGAACGTAACACATGTCTATGAAGTGTTTTGATATTACGTCATGACGCAGCAAATCTGGGTCAGCTCCGTTGTTCCCCCGTTTTTAGAGATGTGGGTACGGAGGAGAAGAGAGAGGGGTTTATTTCCTGACACTTTGTGAGTCTCCTGACACACCGGGGACACACGATGATGTAGAGAAGACATCACTTTGAGAGTCTCCTGACACACCGGGGACACACTGATGTAGAGAAGACATCACTTTGTGAGTCTCCTGACACACCGGGGACACATGGTGATGTAGAGAAGACATCACTTTGTGAGTCTCCTGACACACCGGGGACACATGGTGATGTAGAAAAGACATCACTTAGTGAGTCTCCTGACACACCGGGGACACATTGATGTAGAAAAGACATCACTTTGTGAGTCTCCTGACACACGGGGGACACATTGATGTAGAGAAGACATCAGGAAGTGCATTTTGCATGATAGGAGACCTTTAAGAAGTCAGTAAAGGTGTGTTACCTCTGGGGATGCGTCCGGTGTTTAGTGTTTCTTTTTGTTTTGTTATAATAATAATATATTGTATTGTATTGTGTTGCTATACCTCTGGGGATGCGTCCGGTTCCCTGGCAGGTGGGACATGTGACGCTGTCCCGTCCCGTGAACTCAACGTACGGAAACGTAGAGACGTCTCCCACCTTCTCCTCCTCCTCTTCCTCCAGAGGAGACGTCATGCTGTCCTGACCCTCATCGGGCTGCTTCGTGAGGAGAGAGAAAGACTTCCCCATCCTCACATCTGCAAACACAAACACTGTGAGTCAAACACCAACAGGTGCAGAGATGAGGTCACTGGGGGGGGAAAAACTCAAAAAATGAAAAATAAAATCTTAATTCAGAGTAAAAAGTGAAATTTTTCAAAATGACATATTGCAAAATGTACTTCCTTACAATCAGACAGTGACTTTACTCCTCGTAATTTGACTTATTTTTCAAAATGAGAATTTTTCCACAAGAAGTCAAATTACGAGGAAAAAAGTCACTATCTGAGAGAAAATGTCAAATTCTTAAAGTGGACCTATCATGCTATATTTGAATAATATAGTGTTGGACCATACCTATATAAGGCATATTTCTACTTTTTTTTCTTTCAAAATACCAAACAGATCATGCATTTTAGCCATGCCTCATTTTGCTCAATTTGCACTTTTTTATCCCTGTTTTAGCAAGGGCTGATTCTGTGAGAACAGCACCATCTACTGGCCTGGCATATGTACTACAGCGTCTCCAGCGCTTTCGAACGGCAATGGCCGTGGCTGTCTCCTCCTGATTGGTGGAGTTGGCCCAATAGCCGTAGCGCCACCGTCCTGACGTCAGGACAGTGTTCGAATCTGGATCAGTTTTTATCAGATCCGTTGCAGCCCCTTTTTTAGAGATTTGGGTATGGAGGAAAATAGAGAGGGTTGTGTTTTCTGACACTTGGTGAGTTCCCTGGAACACCGGGGACACATATTCATGTATAAAAGACGTACAAAAGTGCATTTTGCATGATAGGTCCCCTTTAAGTAACGCTCCCATTCTGAAAAAAGTCCTAATCCTGTCATAAATCTGAAATCTAAGAAAAAAATGAAATTTTGAACCAAATAAGAAATTTAGGAAAAACAAGTCATAATCTGAGAAAAAGTCAAATTCGAAGGAAAAAATATATATTTATGAAAAAAAAGTGAAAATCTGGTTAAAATTCTAAATGTGATAAAAATAAGTCAAATTCTGAGAAAAAAGTGAAATTTGAGAAAAAAAGGAACATTTGGGGAAAGATTTTTAAATTGTGAGAAAAAAGTCATAATCTCAGAAAAAGTCAAAAATAAAAAATTAAAATAGGATTTTTTTTTCCAAAATTCTTAAAAAAGTCCTGATTCTGGGAAGAAAGTTAAAAAGTTCTGGGTAAAATTCTAAATGTGAAAAATAAGTGAAATGAATGTTTCAAAGGGGATTATCCTGCTGATGCTCAGGTCTGCTCTGATTGGCTGGCTCTGTGTTGTGGCTGTCAGTTAGCTTGTTAGCTACAACTAGCTGACAGCTAATCCCCTCTGAACGGTAGCTCAATATCTCAGTAGCATTTAGCACTGTGCACTTTAACCTGGAGCTAACGGCCTAACAGCTGAGATAAGATGGAGCTTTATTAATATAAATCAGGAGTTAAAACAGCAACAGGATAAGACAGAAACACAGAGGGAGAAGACATGAGAATATTCACGGGGATAATCAGAAAACAGCTCAGAATAAACATGTATTTACAGCAGGAATACAAGTAGAAAAAACAAAAACAAACAACGTGATTTAAACTCCGGTCAAGGTTCAGATATACAGATATGAGGTTAAATCTACGTTAGCATCTCATGTGTCGGGAATTGAACTACAGACAGAGTCGATGTAGCTCAAATGTTACACAATAACACATTAATAACACATTAATACGTTAGTGTTGTTGTCAGAAAACAGCAGTTAGCTTCGAGCTAACAAACTCTAAACTGGTTAGCATTAGCTGTTGCTAACAGCAGCTAGCTCGCTGGTTTAATATACAGACTCCAGTCCAGGAGGAGTTAAAGTGTGTAAAGAGGTGATGTAAAGCCCCTTTGTGTTGTACCTTAGTGTGTAAAGAGGTTATAGTTAGAGATGTACCTGCGTGTGACTCTTTATTTATCACCTGGATCCTGTTTGTTTATCCTCCGACAGAACAGACATGCGCACTAAGGATTCTTCTTCTTCTTTGGATTTAATGAAGGGGTGGAAACGAGCGTTAGAGGTGCATTACCGCCACCTGCTGGATGGAGTGTGGACTAGCAGGGACCCGGACAAAAAACAACAAGTACATGATCTTAATCAATGCAGCATTTATACATAAATAAGGCTGTATATTTATCCTCCTCATCACTAAATATGTTCTTGAGATGTAACTAACATTGTCTCTGTTTCTCTGGGTGATCCACAGATTCCTCTAAAGATTAAACCACAAGTTTCCCAATGAAGTGCCTCTCGATTATTGGCTGATTGCAAACAATTAAAGGTCTATAAAGACTTTGCATCATCACGTCACCAGATCACCACTTGTGGAAGATTACAACCATGTTTAAGGTATTTTAAATTATCCTAATTAGCCCTGTTTCACCGAAATAATGCAAAAAAAAGAAAAAAGTCCATTTCTGGTAGCCGGTACTTTATGCACGTTTTATGGTTTCTATAGGCTTTTATAATCAATTATCTCATGTTTATAATGTTTCTATTGTGTTTTCTCTTTATGTATTAATAATAATAATAATAATAATAATAATAATAATAATAATAATAATAATAATGCATGTTATATAGAGCTTTTCCTGGTGCTCAAAGCGCTTAAATATTGTCTCTGTATGTCATGTACTTCCATGCCTTTAGCTTCGTATTGTTATCAAATTGAATGCATCTCGCTGTGCATTACATCGTTCTCTATTGCAGGCAGAAGACATTTGCTGAATTGTAAGAAAGACTGTGTATTGCACATGTCTCTATCTGACTGTTTAAAGAGTGAATCTGATGCTCCATATAGTCCGACAAAGAGCAGCAACATCCTGCTTCGTGACTTTAACACAGTATTTGATAGATATGTGGCAGAATATCAGGTACAAACTAGTGTTTCTCTCTCCTGTTTCCTGTCCTCTAACCACAGAAGTAACCTGAACATTTCCAGCATGAGTAACTTCGTAGATTTGTTCAAATGGGTCCAAACGTCCTTGTTGTTTTTCTAAAGTCAGAATGTGATGAGCGATGCTATTTGTGGGGAAAACTTCTGAAGCAATGATGGAGTCAGGACTCAGAGAGACACGAGGAGAGCTGGAGCTTTGATGGAGTCAGGACTCAAAGAGATACGAGGAGAGCTGGAGCTTTGATGGAGTCAGGACTCAGAGAGACACGAGGAGAGCTGGAGCTTTGATGGAGTCAGGACTCAAAGAGATACGAGGAGGGCTGGAGCTTTGATGGAGTCAGGACTCAGAGAGACACGAGGAGAGCTGGAGCTTTGATGGAGTCAGGACTCAGAGAGACACGAGGAGAGCTGGAGCTTTGATGGAGTCAGGACTCAGAGAGACACGAGGAGAGCTGGAGCTTTGATGGAGTCAGGACTCAGAGAGACTCGAGGAGAGCTGGAGCTTTGATGGAGTCAGGACTCAGAGAGACACGAGGAGAGCTGGAGCTTTGATGGAGTCAGGACTCAGAGAGAGACGAGGAGAGCTGGAGCTTTGATGGAGTCAGGACTCAGAGAGACACGAGGAGAGCTGGAGCTTTGATGGAGTCAGGACTCAAAGAGATACGAGGAGAGCTGGAGCTTTGATGGAGTCAGGACTCAGAGAGACTCGAGGAGAGCTGGAGCTTTGATGGAGTCAGGACTCAGAGAGACACGAGGAGAGCTGGAGCTTTGATGGAGTCAGGACTCAGAGAGAGACGAGGAGAGCTGGAGCTTTGATGGAGTCAGGACTCAGAGAGACACGAGGAGAGCTGGAGCTTTGATGGAGTCAGGACTCAAAGAGATACGAGGAGAGCTGGAGCTTTGATGGAGTCAGGACTCAGAGAGACTCGAGGAGAGCTGGAGCTTTGATGGAGTCAGGACTCAGAGAGACTCGAGGAGAGCTGGAGCTTTGATGGAGTCAGGACTCAGAGAGACACGAGGAGAGCTGGAGCTTTGATGGAGTCAGGACTCAGAGAGACTCGAGGAGAGCTGGAGCTTTGATGGAGTCAGGACTCAGAGAGACACGAGGAGAGCTGGAGCTTTGATGGCAAACACTGACACTGATGGAGCTTCGGCCGGAGAATTCACAAGACATGTCACGGGCCACGGTCTGACCACACGGTTGAGATGCCACAATCAACTCTGAAGAGCCCTCCTGTAGCTCCACGTTTTATCTAGTTCAGAGTGTAATAATCAACATTCTTCAATAGAGAGACTAAACAGCTGAGGACACTGAATCACATTTGTTGTCGCTTATGGCTCGAGGTCATCTACACCCCGAGAAGGAAGTGTTCCAGGTGTCCCACAACAATAACTATCTCTGACCGAGAGTTGCCCGGTCACAAACTGGTAACAACAACAACTTGCTAGGGCAGCCCCTCCTTAAGGGAGCTAGCGGCTGCCCAAGGCTGGGCATCTGCGTCAGAGGGCGAAAGGTCAACATGTATGGAAATCATTCCCTGACACTATTCATGTTTAATATAACCAGCTAAATGTTTTGGCCCAGTTGCTCTTCCAAAGAAAGTCCCCATGCGGATCCATCTGGCATTTTATTTCTTCATTAAGGCCCCGGCCGCATGAGGCCGACACGGAAACGCAGAAAACGATAACGATAACGGGTCCCAAGGTGGGTAGATCTGCAGACGCAACGCTCTGGGGGCCAAACGGCTCCGTGTTTACGCCTATACGATCATGTCCTGATAACGATGACGCAATAGCCCCGCCTCTCCCCACCTCTCAGAGATCAGCTGCTGGGCTCTCAGAAGAGGGGGAGGAAAAGAGAGGCTCCGTTTTTTATTCTTATATTATTATATAGAGTCGTTATCAATTTGTTTGAAAGTACTAAATGCTCCACTCCAAAGACTCTTGTTGCTTTAATTGACTTTAAATGAACAAATATTTAAAAAGAAAGGCGGTGTCCCCAGATTAAAAAACTGGAATGGATATTTGGCTTTAATACCTTTTGTCCAATGCTGAGGAAAAAAAGCGAAATTCTGAAAAAAGTGACATTTACATTTTTTTTTTATTGTGAAAAAAGTATAATTTCGAACTAAAAGTAAAATTATGAGAAAAAAATCTAACTCAAAGATAAATTTACAAATTATGAGAAAAAAGTGAAATTTAGAAAAAATAAGAAAATTCTTTTAAAAAAAAAAGCTCATACTGCGGCCTAGTTGCTCTTCCAAAGAAATCCTCAATGATTAAAAAGACAGACGTTTCCTGCAGACCTGGTTATGAAGTGAGTCCTGTTGGTTTATTTGAGGTTAATAACAAAGACATGAGTCCCAACCTGAGGCTCCGGACCCCCACTAGAGGTCACCAGAGCTTCACTTTGGGTCTCACTAAGTGGTAAAACACAACTATAAACAAATACATATATTTATTCACAGTTTCTCTGATTACCATTCATTTCTGATAAGAACAATAAAAACATACAAGTACTGTATATAATATAATAAGTACTCAGGTCTTGTACTTAGTAAAAGTAGAAGTACACAGGTCTTGTACTTGAGTAAAAGTAGAAGTACTCAGATCTTGAGTAAAAGTAGAAGTACTCAGGTCTTGTACTTGAGTAAAAGTAGAAAAGTATTATCATCAAAATGTCCTGAAAGTAACAAAAGTAAAAGTAGTCATTGTGCAGATCGGTCCATTTCAGAATAATATACCAAATATAGAAAAGATCTGAAAGTACACAGATTATATTTGAACCTATAGTTATCTGAATCTCAGTTTTAATTTCCTGCAGCGTTTTCTTTTGAAGAGCAGAGACCCTGCAGGTTGACACATTGTTATTGGAAGTGTTTCTGGGTTTCTGTCTCATTTGGCTTTTATTGTGAAATTACTTTAGAGAGTTTCCATGTTATAGTAAGGTTTAAAGAAAACCAAAAGGAAGCACGGCTGTGAACTTGCTTAAGAAATTAAGAAAGAACAGACATTGATTTTAGGATCTTTATTCCTCCTCTCAGTGTTGATTCCCTGCAGCTTCACATCTGAGACCCTGCAGGTTGACACGGTGTTATTGAGGTGTATATGGGGGTCTGCCTGCTCTCTGTTTGTATGGAAATGGGAGGGGTCTGCCTGAGAAGGAAAACATGGCTGACCCACATTCGAGGAATATCGGCTTCATCCAGAGCTGAATAATGTATCCCAGACACTCAGGGGACACACAGCACTTCAGATCAAACAGGAAATGGAAATCAGGCTTTTTATAAATCTCAAACTGCGGCTTAAACTCCGTCTAACCTTCCTGCAGGTGGAGGGTCTCACTGTGGGTTCAAGTACTAAAACCACACGGTGAAAGTACTCTGTTACAAGTACAAGTCATACATTATAACCCTAAAGTACTGGCATCAAAATATACCTAAAGACGTGAAGGGAAAGTATCCTGCAGAACATCCCAGAATAGTATATCTGATATGTTATTGATGCTCTGTGACGTGTTTGAGCTCCTCTTAACTTCTCTGTCAGCCTCAGCCTTTTATTCACTGTTAATAATCCTAGTCTGCAAAGTAGCTTTCCAATCAATATAAAAAAGTAATAAATAAGCATGTTGTTTTCTGTGTGCACGGTTCAGTGGTACCCGGGGGGTTAATCACAGATCTGTTTACTTTCAGCACTTTGCATTTGTTTTGCAGGATTTCATATGAGAGAAAGTGAGTAAAAAGCATCTTCCACTCAACTGAATATCTTTAGCTTCCTAGAATAATATTTAATAGGAGAAACACGTGTTTATATCTAATTAAAAATATACGTTACAGGAACACACTCTTTCAATACAGTACAATACTTGAGACACTGCTCTAGATCAGATGCAATATGTATTCAGATGTTCTGCATTCATCTCTTGAATTGATGAGATTTCAGTTGTAAATAAGCATGTTGTTTTCTGTGAGCGCGGTCCAGTGGTACCCGGGGGGTTCACCACAGATCTGTTTACTTTCAGAACTTCATTTGTTCAGGATTTCTATCTCAGAAAAAAAGGATAAAAATCACACTGCAGCTGATT